AAGGCGATGCATGGTAAACCTCTGGGACGGTGAACTTCTTCAAACTTTGGGAACGGGTTGAAGACTAGCCATGCGGAGTAGCAGGAGCCGTAGCAGTAGCAGTGAGCCCCAGAAACGTGGAACGGCTCTAAGCTTAAGCGTAAGGCTATAAGGGTGTATTTGTAGATAGATTCTTGGTATAGCGAAAATGAGTGGATAGTTGACGCGGATGTGACGATCGTAACTTAATAGTTGAACAAGTAGAATGGGATTTTACAATAGAGTGTAGCGATTACCCGCCTAGATAATAGGGGCCCTCAGGGATATGGTAGCAATATGCTGTTACTCTTTCTACAAGTAGTCAGTTATACCAGCACTTCACAAACTGTAATTTTGGTATGAGGAATCCGCAGGCTGCTTGTAAAGGAGATATCTAAAAGCACATCCTCCTTATTATATTGGCATTCCTAATTTCCTAGGCGAAAAATCATAGGAAAGGTCGAATTGGCGTTGAAAGGTTGAAACAAATCCCCTATTTTTTGGCTCTGAGAGCTGACAGAGGACTTGTGCCCCCCCAGTCAAAACTAAACCGCTTTTCAGCACGGATAGCTGCGTAGTTGCTGATTCTAGCCAATTACCAGGCCTGGCAGCTGAAGTTGTGCGCAGCAACTGCTCTGCACTGCTCTTGCTGCAACTTGCTGGCGCTGCTGGCTCCTCCCTCTTGCCTTGCAAGGAAGGAACGTCCCTCCTAAACTGCGTGGCGCCTTCCCTTCTTTTAATTCATTATCCTCCGTCGCCCAGAACCTCACTCATTGTTCCCTTCCCCTTGAATCTTGATCATCCTCCTTCCAACACACACACTCTCATCCTAATTCCATCTCCTCTGTTTCCTTACACCTTCGTAACTGTCTATCGCTTCACTTTCCCTTTCTTTTCTTTGCATCCTTGATTCCCTTACTCCATCATGGCGTATCAGGGCCAAGGCGGCTTTGGCGACGGCCATCATGGTCAAAACCCTACTGTATGTATTCCAATGCTTTATACTCATCAAGAAAGGGCCCCAGCTAACTCAACGGAACCAGTATGGCCATGGTCCTGGCTCCAGACATTCCGATGAAGATGCCCAGCAATCATTATTGCACGATGACCCTACCGGCACTCGCGCTGGTCCCTTTGGCAATCAGTATGCCACAGATGCCGTCCCAGACCGACACCATTCCCCAAGCGTTCGACCTCCATCAGCATACAGTCTGACGGAAACATACGCGGAAGCAGGACCACAAGGCTATGGTGCACCAGGCTACGGACAACAAGAATATGGCGGGCCACCAGGAGGCCTAGACCCACCACACCGGTCCCAATCTCCATACGCCAGAAGCGAAACTAGCTCGGTCGAGGGCTGGCGACAGCGACAACAACCCGGTGGCCCCATGGGTGGTGGTGGTGGATTGAAGCGCAATGCCACGAGAAAAGTCAAGCTCGTTCAAGGCACCGTTCTCAGTGCTGATTATCCAGTGCCAAGTGCCATTCAAAATGCCATCCAGGCCAAGTATCGCAATGATTTGGAAACTGGAAGCGAAGAGTTCACACACATGAGATGTAAGTCAAGCTATTTTCCCGATGAAACAAATGAAACTGTTTCTAACGATACACAGATACTGCCGCTACCTGCGATCCCAATGACTTTACCCTCAAAAACGGTTACAATCTTCGGCCGGCAATGTACAATCGCCACACCGAGCTTTTGATCGCCATCACATACTACAACGAAGACAAAGTCTTGACCGCCAGAACTCTTCATGGTGTCATGAAAAATATCCGGGAAATTGTCAACTTGAAGAAATCAGAATTCTGGAACAAAGGTGGCCCAGCCTGGCAAAAAATTGTTGTCTGCTTGGTTTTTGATGGTATCGACCCATGCGACAAAGGCACTTTGGACGTGCTCGCTACCGTTGGTATTTACCAGGATGGTATCATGAAAAAAGATATTGACGGCCGTGAAACCACCGCTCATATTTTCGAATACACCACACAATTGTCTGTCACTCCCAGTCAACAACTTGTCCGGCCTCTTGATGATAGTAACACCACTTTGCCACCGGTTCAAATGATGTTTTGCTTGAAACAGAAGAATGAGAAGAAGATCAACTCCCATCGTTGGCTTTTCACTGCCTTTGGTCGTATTCTGAACCCAGAAGTGGTCATTCTACTTGATGCTGGTACCAAACCCGGCGACAAGTCTCTTCTCTACCTCTGGGAAGGATTTTACAACGACAAGAACCTTGGCGGTGCTTGCGGTGAAATTCACGCCGAATTGGGCCATGGCTGGAAGAATCTCCTAAACCCCTTGGTTGCAGCCCAGAATTTCGAGTACAAGATTTCCAATATTCTTGACAAACCTCTGGAGAGTAGTTTCGGATACGTCTCTGTGTTACCTGGTGCTTTCTCTGCTTATCGGTATCGCGCCATCATGGGTCGTCCTCTTGAACAATATTTCCACGGTGATCACTCTCTTGCCAAAATCCTTGGCAAGAAGGGTATCGATGGAATGAATATTTTCAAGAAGAACATGTTCTTGGCTGAAGATCGTATTCTTTGTTTCGAACTTGTCGCCAAAGCTGGTTCCAAGTGGCATTTGACTTATATCAAGGCCGCCAAGGGTGAGACCGATGTGCCAGATGGAGCTCCAGAATTCATAGGTCAACGCCGTCGTTGGCTAAACGGTTCTTTTGCTGCCAGTGTGTACGCTCTCATGCATTTCGGCCGCTTGTTCGCATCCGGCCACAATCCCATCCGCAAGCTGTTCTTCGTCTTCCAAATGCTTTACATGACTTCTACACTCATTCTTTCCTGGTTCCTGCTCGGCTCTTTCTGGCTCACAACCTCTATCATCATGGATCTTGTCGGTGGTACTGTCGATGAAATTACAAACCCCACTCCACAAACTGCAAATCGTGGCTGGCCTTTTGGTATACACTACACTCCTCACGTCAACACTGTTCTCAAATACATCTACCTGGCTTTCGTCGTCCTGCAATTTATTCTCGCTCTTGGAAACAGACCCAAGGGTTCCAGATGGACTTATATCACGTCTTTCAGTGTATTTGCTGTCATCCAGGCCTATCTTCTCGTTCTGTCCTTCTATCTATTGGCTAGAGCGCTTGGTGGAAACGCTCTACTGGAAGGCTTCAACGATCTGGATAAATTCTTCAGTCCAGACGGTGTCGGTGTCATTCTTATCGCTGTTGTTGCTACCTTTGGTCTCTACTACGTCGCTTCCTTCCTATACTGGGATCCTTGGCACATGTTCACGTCTTTCCCTCAATATCTTCTTCTCATGCCGTCCTTCATCAACATTCTGAACGTTTACGCCTTTTCCAACTGGCACGACGTGTCTTGGGGTACCAAGGGTTCAGATAAAGCCGAAGCTCTGCCATCTGTAAAGACCGAAAAAGCGGATGACGGAAAACATACCGTCATTGAGGAAATAGACCTACCTCAAGCTGATATTGACAGCAATTTTGAGGTTACCGTCAAGCGCGCCTTGCAACCATATACGGCACCAAAGGAAAGTACCGAGAAGAGTTTGGAAGATTCCTACAAGAGTTTCCGTACCAAGTTGGTAGCTGGATGGGTTTTCTCCAACACTATTCTTGCCATCATTATCACCAGCACCAACTTTGATTTCATCTTCCCAGTAAGTCTTTCTAAAGCATCAGTGGCGCAGAACCAATTCTAACATGACTACTAGGCTTCCTATGGGGCTCAAGCTCGTACCGCGAGATACTTCTCTGCTCTTCTGTGGGCAACTGCTGGTCTCTCTGTCATCCGTTTCGCAGGCTGCCTTGTCTTCCTTTTTAAGACTGGTGCTCTACGTCTCACACGTAAGAGATAGATGCGCCAAAATCGCGTCACTCGTCATTCCTCTCTCTTGCATCAAATTCTCTATTCTCAGCATTTTCTATCTCCGGACCTGTGCTTTTTTGCAGTCGGGGCTGTAATTCATACTTTTAGCCAAGTCACTCTGCTTCCTCTTTTTCTTTCCTCACTTGAATTTTACTTTTCTACGACATCCTTGATTTGCAGCAGCAGCATTTCATGGAAAATCAACTTGACTTGACTTGATGAAGCTTGTGCGAGGAAGAGAAAAAATATATACATACACAAGTTCGAACCTCTCGAGGACTAAAGAGGAGATGTAGTTGCGGTGTCTCTTGTGTCTTATTTCCCATCCCATTGAAGGGGATTAGCGATTAGCTTTTGGCTTTTATCAAAAGAGGATATTTTCTGCCTCTAGTGGAGTTGCATGGGCGTTCAAGATTGGTTCTTATTGTGGTTGGGTTTGCTTTCTGTTTTGTACCTGTCTGTTCTTTTTTTTCTTGTGTCATCTAATGATGGATCATTCGGTTTCGAGATAACCTATGTAGAAAAAGTGTACTGAATTGACCTCTTTTACTTTAAGGATCTTGTTTTGCTTTGATGTGACTTGTCGCTGTGAGGGAAATGGATAGGAGGTACTAGAATTGGAGATGGGTTTGGTTTAGAAGTCTTTGTATTGTCTATGAGTTTATACAGGCTGGAAGTGTGTTAAAGGAACGCAGATATAGCGTTTTTATGTCTGATCTGGTTCAACATGTAGGGTTTACTCTAGTCTACTCTGCATCATGTTTACTCAAGCGCAAGGTTGATACTGATGTAGAGTAAGAAACGAGTCTCGTGAGGAAGATAGCCCAACTTTATTCCCATCATTCGTTACAGCAAATTGACTCAAAGAAATATAGCTCTATTCAATCTGGACTCTTTCTTAAGATTATCATCGTTCCATTTGGAGAAACTATCAATAACAGATCGTATCTTCTCCAATGTTGTTGCCGGATACGTGCAGGTAGATCATGTTGGTTTCCGAAGGTGTTGCAACCACACCAACCACACACAAGGGCCAGAAATGTAGGAGAGTACAATAAGGATCCAACCATCATAAAGAAGCATCTCGTCTTAATTTATGGATGCAAAAAAAAGGATGCTTCCACTGGGGATCGAACCCAGGACCTTCAGCGCATTACTGTGAAGCGGACGTCATACCACTAGACCATAGAAGCAAAATTCTATCAAGAATCATCCAGCATTCCGGAGTTTTTGAATATAACTAGCATGCGCAGTTTCGAAGTCATTTTGCTCCATCACCAACATTTTCGGTACTATTTTATCGAAAATGAAAAGATATGGGAGCAATAGTCATGCAGCTTCAATTTGGAAACTAGAAATGCTTGTTTGCATTTCACAGGTGCAGTTTTCTCTTTTTGACCAGCTTTTGACTACAGTATTCAGAAAGCGAGCTCGGGGGAAGGGCAGACTTTAAAGGGAGCGTATTAGGAAGGAACAATTATGGCACTCCATTTGCTTCAGATATATGCTAAATTAGAGCTGATATATGTAATGGTTTACGGTGATGAATTATATCTTGTTTGCGTCCAACAGTGTTCTACATCAGCATTTTAGCAAATACATTCCTTAGACTACTGCTCGTTGCCAGGAAGCGACTATATATTTATCGCACTTATGATTGATCATGGTATAACGTAGAATTACGAGTCGAACGGGATTGGTTTAATTGCTCTTGAATACGAGGTCTTGAATCCCGATGCCTCCCCAACTCCGTACAAGGTAGCCTGAAAGCCAAGATGCCACTTGTTTCTTCAACATTTTGGTAACATTTCGCTTGGCTTTTGAAGGCGACAGATCAAATTAGGCCAAAGACTATTGCAACTCTTCCTGCTGTCAAAGTGGTGCCAACAATATTCTAAACTCTTTGCTATTGTTGTCTAACTCCGTTGAAGCAACTACCACCCATCATGGGCATTTCAACTCTAGGATATACGCTTACTTTTCTTGCATTCATAATCTACGCTGTATCACTGATCAGGTCTTATCATGCCGAGAAGCGATTCCAACAATTTGCTCGCGATAATGGCGCAGAACCAGCAAAACCAGTCGAGTACAAACTCCCATGGGCACTTGACGGCATGTACAGAGTCTTGAGAGCAGTATCTCGCGGCGAAGACTTTTTCGACGACATAATCGGTAAACGTCTGGAAGAAATGAACACCTGGACTTACGAATCGGCTGGGCTCTTTGGGTCTGTTCTCGTTAGCACTGCAGAACCTAGAAACGTGCAGGCAGTATTTGCAACCAAGTTCAACGATTACTCGATTGGCAAACTACGAAAGAAGCAGTTTGGTGTGCTCCTTGGGAAAGGCATATTTACAGTCGACGGTCCAGCTTGGTCGCATGCTCGAGCCTTGTTTCGACCTTTGTTTGCAAGAGACAACATCAATGACCTGGTCGAGACGGAAAGAGCTTCCAATATATTGATCGATGTGATACCATCTGGACACGATGGTTGGACTTCGACTGTAGATCTGTTGCCTCTCTTCTATCGCTTCACTCTGGATACGGCGACGTCTTTTATCTTTGGGGAGAGTGTTAATTCTCAGCTTGCAGAGGTAAGTCTCGAGATGTCTTCCGTTTCTCCGTTTCATTTGGCGAGGCTGAACAATCTTATTACTTTGACTGTTTGCTCAGGTTATACGACACTGACATTATGTAGGCATCTTCAGAGACAAATAACAAGAAGCGGCGAGAATTTGCAAAGTTTTCAGACGCCTTTTCTAAAGCCCAAGAATTAATCTCGCTACGAGTAAAGTTACAAAGCCTCTACTTTGTAGCCGATGGCCTAAAATCCAGAGCAGTGACCGAGACCGTACGTCAGTTTACTCGCCAGACGATTCAAGCAACGCTCGCTCGCCGATCAAACGTTAAGGAGAAGCAAACCGGTCATGGTACTTATAGCATCGTAGAAGAATTGGCCAAATCGACTAGTGACCAGGAGGAGATACAAGACAATGTCTTGTGTAAGTTATGCTCTGAGTTTTGACCATACCCGGATGATTGACAACAAATAGCTTTAATGGCAGCTGGACGTGATACAACATCCGCTTTATTGAGTTGGATGTTTTATCTCCTCGCCACCCATCCCAATGTATTTCGAAAGCTCCGCAACGTTATCATTGAGGACTTTGGAGACTCTCCTTCCTCTGGTAAGAAGATAGGCTTTGCGGAACTCAAGTCATGTCGATATCTGCAGTATGTCATCAACGAAACACTTCGACTTTACCCAACTGTTCCAGCCAATATGCGCACTGCCATCCGAGACACAATTCTTCCTGTAGGCGGCGGACCAAACGGCGATAGGCCGGTGGCCATACGAAAAGGGCAAGTTGTTGGGGTATTCATTTACAACATGCAACGACGACCAGATATTTGGGGCGAGGACGCGGATGAATTCAGACCAGAACGATTTCGAGATAGAAAACATGACTGGAGCTTTGTTCCGTAAGTTCTGTATCGTGGCTCCTGGTTAGATGTCAGACTGATTGAAAATCTATATAGATTCTCTGGTGGTCCAAGAGTATGCTTAGGTCGTAAGTTTGTCCTTTAGCATCACTTCCAAGTAGCAACTAATCAGCAACTTCACAGAGCAATACGCTATAATCGAAGCCAGTTATCTCACTGTACGATTACTCCAGACTTTCGACAACATTACTTGGGTGGGAGCGCAAGGAAGGCCAGTGAAGGGTATGGGAATTACACTTTTCCCTCAGCATGGAACAAAAGTACGTCTACACTATGCCGACAAAAAATAAGTAACTCGAGCTATACTTCGTCTTAGCACCATGTCAGATGTGATTGTGGGGAATTATGTCCAGTAGAGCCAGAAATCTTTCACGAAGTATACTGTTGCCAGTTATAACTATTTCCGTTCACCATTTTGTGTTAAAATTGCGACGTATTTTGTGAGAGTATATTTGAATCTCAAAGTCTGTCCCAGGTTTTAACTTGCTTGAGCGCTGAAGTAGAAGCCAATCCAGTACTGCGATGACCATATATCCAGCTTGCGCTAGTAAATAGGAGGTCAATAAGACGCTCCAGGAGGTAGTCAAATAGGTTGGAAGCTTATTCTTGAAAGCTTGAAAATGCCAATGTATTTCATTATTCATAAGCCATCGTTGACTCTGTCAGCCTTCGGCAATTTCTGAGCAGGCACTCAGCCTCAGGAGTCAGCGGCAGGAGAATGGTGTCCAAGATTCCGAATGAGTATCACACGGTTTAATTGTATCATCAGAATTGAGGGATGAGGTCGCTCACATCAGCCAATATGCCCAGAAGTCAAGTCAACTTATCATGCCCCAGATATAAGCCTTAACAAACTACCAAAGTCACAATCTTTCGACGTATCATTGATTACGTTTTGAAGAAAATAATCCCCAGATTTCGGGGGCGACGGCGTGGATAGCCAAGCTACGCCTTGTGGGTATATCGATGGGCGCGTCGCGCTTAATGAACAACAGCCTTTCGCGTCTCAAGTCTGACCGGTCATTGGGGATTCCAGACTTGGCTAGAAAACAATCAAGAAATACGTTCGAATTTCAGTGGCCATTCAATATTGAGCTGCGATCTCGCCAAAGCAGTAGCTGAAAGGGAAATGATCAGCAAATCGAACGAGAGCCAGACCAAGCAAGAGGTCTAATGAACGCCTTGGGCGGACAGCCTAACTTCTACAAGTCAGAGCTTGAAGTCAAATTGTCAATGTTAGCAAAAAAAGCCCCTTTTGGTCCTCAGCCAAACGGCCAATTTTACAGAGGCTGATTCCAAGACCGCATTAAAAGTCTAGAAGGTCGGTGATTGGCAGCACGGGCATTGCCGCGAACCACCATTATTGGCCGGGGGGATTTAGAGCCGCATCAGATAAGCGTACCCTATGTTTTGGTAGAGGCAATATAGCGGTCCAGTAATTAATAGAGCGTCTTTATAGTACCCAAATAAAGAGTAATCTAAATTATGGATTATCTAATTGTTTTAGTCTCTATTTACGTTAAATCCTAAAAGTACTATCTAAACATTTAGATAAACTACTTAATTAGATGTTTAAATCGCGTTGATGTCTATTTAGCTACGTAGATATTTATACTATTATTAAAGGTCTAAATATTATAAGGGTCTAGATATTTAAGCATCTAATTTCTATTTTAGGACTAGATCTTTATAATATTAGATAATCTTAATCTAATTGTAATATAGACTATACTTTACTATTACTACTTCTTTAATCTAACTTTATATCTATAGATATTAGTTAAGTAAAGTTAAATTTATATTTTTAGATTTGCTTTACTACTCTTTACCTACTCTTACCTTACTTTACCTTACCTTATTTTTTTTTATACTTTTATATTATACTTTAGTATTATTATTTATAATGCGTAGTAAAGATAAACGCTAAATCTACTATGTCGCTAGAAGTACTAGCTGCTCGTATAAGTTAACTTTAATCTAATTAATATTTATTAAAATATATTACTTTATATTATTCTAGAATATATCTAATACTTTATGCTATACTTTTGATCTAGTAATTAGAAGAGCTATAGAATATTAGAACTAGCTTATTTAATTATATACTAAATGTCTTAACTTAATCTATATTAGTTATACAACTATATAAAATTATTACGATATTAATTACTTTTATTTTAAGCTATATTAGGTTGTACTAGACAGTATAGATTATCCTATTATTATAAATTGGCCTTCTACTAGTATATTTAAACTAAATGCTAATATTAATATAATTATAGGAGAAGCGCTAAGCGCTTTATAAAACTAGAGATTCTAGGTTAGTTACTTATATATTAACTAAAAAGCGTAAGGCTAAAGATATTACTACTACTACTATTACTAACGCTATAAATAACGATAATAATATGCCTATAGGCGTAGATGCTACTTACTAGCTAGTATATAATATCCTAATATTTATTCTCTTCTTTATTTATCTCTATATATACTTTATTTATTTATATATTCTCTCTCTTATTAATTCTTAACTAATACTATTTACTTTTCTTTTTCTATTAAACTATCTTTTTCTATTAAACTATCTTTATTTATTACGTTATAATATAATATCTAATATGCTATAATTTAACTTATAAGCTAACTAGTAATATAGAAAATAAATTGTAATAGCCGCTAGTACGTA